AAAGGGCAGAAAGTCACACTGATCATATTTATTATCCCTAGACAAATGATGAGTTGTGAAATTGACTCTCTGAGATGTGGTAGGACAGGGACAACAAAGCTGAGCAACAGAAAACTTGAGTAGCATTAAACTCCAGGTGCAGTGCTGACAGTCTGGGTTCTGACTCACCACTCTTGCCTTGTGAATTAAGGGAGATGTGAGCATACTGTGATAATGCATGCCAGTCTGGGAACTTAAACTGGAAAAAAAAAAAAAAAGAGAGAGAGAGACTCTTTAAAATTAAATTATAAAAGCCTGTACTTTGATCCCACTGCACTGATGAAAATGTGACAGTAATGACAGCAACTACTACCAAAAGAAAAAGAAATGATGTAGTAGAGGAAATAATATAGATGAGAGCCATAAAACTATTTATTGTAATGTTAAAGACATCTGTATTCAAACCACAGAGCACAATTTGCAGCACTAAAAGGAAAGATCTTCCTTTTTCTGTGTAGTACTACTGACTGAATCCCTACATGCCATCCGCAGTCTTTGAGAGCAGGTCCAGAAAGACAGAAAAAAATCATTCATTATCCAGAGGATTAAACCAGCTGTAAAGATAATTTAATCATTTGTCTTGAAAATAGATAATGACGAAGCATGCTCTATTTCATGCGTACATGGACACAAATGCAATGCAGCACTACCAAGTATATGTACTTGATATGTTTATGTTTAGTGCAGTACATGTATATATGCACAATTCATCACCATCAAGTATTCAGTTTTCATAAATAATGCAGTAGCCCAGAGCTTCTTTAGATCAGAGTAACAAAAAGGGCATCTCAAAACAGGGAAATTGAGGAACTCCAGCCCCAGCTGAAAGAATAAGCACTTTGAAAAGGACAGAATAAACAGAAAGCTGCAGAAAATGGGGGAGGAGATTGGCAGAGAAAGCTCATCAGAAATCAGGGGTCTGCTTGAGTGAGGAGAAGATGCTGCAGACATCCTTCTGGGCAGAAGGGCAAGAAGCCCCAAGAAAACAGTGATCAGACAAGAGGTAGAGGAGATGGAGATGGCTGTGGGCTCCATATGAACAAGAACCTCCGTACGTGACTGCATGCAGGCATATGCAGGGAGGAGGCAACATAATAAGGAGGAAAAGTATGTCAAGAATACCTTTAACCTGATAAACTGTATCAATTTAGGATGATTGGGCATAAATTGCTAGAAGCCAATTTCTAATCATCAGCTTTCTCCAGACAGAGGGATAGGTGCAAAGAAACCTGAATCTTTCTACTATGGGCTCTATGTGTTTTGTCTTTATCAGCCAATTGCAAGGGCCTGGACTGCAGCTGATGACTGAGGATGTTGCTTCCATTCTTAAGTTCCCATTAAGTGCAGCTATTGTTGCACATTTTGTGCTGCTATAGAGGATTTGGGCGGGGAAAAATTTAATGCAA